TTGAATCGCCAGCCTTCTGGTTAGCAGTCAAGTGCCCTAGGCACTATGCTACCAGAGCTCTTAATGATTAACATTACTGCATAGTAAATGACTTAAAGTATTATTTTTATTGTTTATATTTATACATCAGTGTAATCATTTAAGTGGATAGGACTAAGATAAATGAGGTTAACTATATGTGCTTTATGGCTAAAGAAAACCAAAATGCAAGGCATTTTTCTGCTCCATTTTTTTTCCAAACTGGAAAAAGTTTATTTCCTCAGATCAGTGTTTCTCAAAGTGGAGTGAGGACAATGCTGGAGTGAGTGTTAAAATACAGAATATTAGGCCGGCCTCATTTCTGTTAAGATGTCAGGGGGTGCAGCCCTGTGGAAAAGTCCCTCTTTTATTTTTATTTTTTTATTTTTTTTGCCCCCAGAAGAAGTTTTATGTGTATCTTCCACTTCTGTAAAGATTTACTGCCTCAGCAACCCAATGGGGGTTGCTAAGAGTCAGAATCGACTTGACAGTAGCAGGTCTGGTTTTTGGTTTATGGGTCAAAACAGTATTAAGTAGACTATCTTAACAGCAAGGGATACTAGGAAATGTAATTTTTAAACTTCACTTCTTTTTTTTTAAATTGTGGTTTAGGTGAAAGTTGACAGAGCGAATTCATTTTCCATTCAACAGTTCACACATTTTGTTTGATGACATTGATTGCAGTCCCCATAATGTGATAGCTCTCTTCCCACTTCCTCCCTCTGGTTACCCTTTTCTTGTGTCCTTTTTTCCTACGCATCCCTGCCCCCTGAGCTATCTCCCTGGGGAAGTACTGCCCTTCTGTTCTCCCATGGTTGAGTGTTCTAAGGAGTGTACATACCTGGTGTAAATGTGCACCTGGTAACGCTTGTCTGTTGAATGGCTGGACGCCACAGGAATGAGTTCAGTTCCAGGCTTGAACGGTGACTAGGGGCCATAGTCTTGGAGGTTTTACTAGTCTCTATGAAACCAGTAAGCCTGGTGTGCTTTATGATTTTGAAACTCCCTGACTCTTGTGCACATGAAAGATTGAGAACCTGCAACCTCTGACGTAGCTAAGGGGAGAATCTCTGGGGCCAAACAGGCAGAAATGGACGCAGGCCAGCCAGCCGAAGACTGGGTATGACAGCAACAGGCTTTTCCAGCACCTCCCTTTCCCAGACCCATGACCACTTCTGGTTCTCCAAGGGTGGCCTACAAAGTGGAGTCTATTTACTGATTTTTCAAATTTTTATTATGATTTGGGTAAAAGTTGACAGAGCAAATTCATTTTCCATACAGCAGGTCATACACATTTGTTTCATGACATTGACTGCAATTCCCCACCATGTATCAGCTCTCTTCCCACTTCCTCCCTGTAGTTACCTCTTCCCTGTGTCCTTCCCTCCCATGCACTTCCACCCCCCTCCCCCAGTTGTCTCCTTCTGAACTGCCTTTCTGTTCTCCCATGATCAACCGCTCTAAGGAGTATATCTACCTGATATAAATGTTCAGCCTACATGCCTGTCTGTTGTTTGGCTGGAAGCCACAGGAGTGAGTTTAGTTCCAGACCTGAGGGGTAACTAGGGGCGATGGTCCCAGGAGTCTCACCAGGCTCTGTCACCAGGACACCTGGTCTTTTTTTCATGATACAAAATGGGGTCTTGAAGTAGACTGTAACAACAGGACCTCTGGAAAGGTCCTTCCCCTTTGCTGGCATGGCCACTGTATTCATACATGCTCACTAAAAGGTGGAGGAGGGGAAAGGCATTAGTTTTATGATATCCTGGACAGAATCGTAGCCTGAGTCACCACAGTTTCTTTTAAGAGAAGCACAATAAGAGATTAGCCGTCTGGCAGAGGGATTAGGCTTGTTCTGTGTGTCTCCAGAGGGCAGAGCTGAAGCAGAATTGGTGATGGCTACAGGAGGTCAACCGGGCTCTGTCTCAGGAGGAGCTTTTTAACGCCACAAATTGTCAAAATTTTGAAATGGGCTACCTTGTGAAGAAGTGAGCTTACTGTCACTGCAAGGGTTTGAACACAAAGGAGCTTTTTCACAAAGCCTGGGAGTCTTTGAGGGGCCCTGGTAGCCCAGTGGCTAAAGCCAGAGGTCAGCAATTCGAACTCAGCAGCCTCTCTGTGGGAGAAAAATGTGGCAGTTACTTCCGTAAAGAATTAAGAACAAAAAAACAAACTCACTGCTGATGAGTTGGATCCAACTCATAAGGACTCCCCTCCTTGGGTTTCCGAGGTGGTATCACTATGGAATTAGATTGCCCAACCTTCCTTCCAAGGAGTGGCTGTTGGGTTTGAACTGCCAGCCTTCTGGTTAGCAGTCAAGTACCTTAGGCACTATGCTACCAGTTGTTGCTGTTTGCCGTCGAGTCGGCCCCGACTCATAGCAACCCCTCCTTGGGTTTCCGAGGCAGTATCACTACGGAAGTAGGATTGCCCAACCTTCCTTCCGAGGAGTGGCTGGTGGGTTTGAACCGCCAGCCTTCTGGTGAGCAGTCAAGTGCCTTAGGCACTATGCTACCAGAGCTCCTACATAAAGAATTACAGCCTTGTAACTCCTATGGTGCAGTTCATCTCTGTCCTCTAGGGGCGCTGTGAGTCAGAATCCACTCACCTTCAGTGGGTTTGGTTTGGGCTTTGCTTTGCTAAAAATTTACAGCTTTGGAAACCTATAGGGCAATTGTACTCTGTCCTATAGAGTGGCTGTGAATTGGAATCAGCTCAATGGAAGTGTTTTTCTTTCTTTCTCTTTCTTTCTTTCTTTCTTTCTCTTTGATGCTCCAAGTAAATTTGTTACATGGAGTAATTAATCAACCTGAATTTCAGAAGAAACTATTTTGTTTAAAGGGGGAATTTAGCTCTCAATCTGCGTTTATAATTTTCCTACACTTAGCTTGAAGAGGCGATCCACTTCTCAAAGAATTGGCCAGTGAAAACCTTATGAATAGTAGTGAAACACTGTCTGTAGTAGTGAAACACTATATTACTGGAAAATTGTCTAAACACTGTCTATAGTAGTGAAACACTGTATTACTGGAAAATTTTATGAATAGGCCTGAAACATTGTCTGATACAATGCTGGAAGATGAGCCCCTCAGATTGGAAGGCGCTCAAAATACAACTGGGGAAGAGCTGTCTTATCAGAGTAGTGCCTCTACCTTAATGATATGGATAAAGTAGAGCTTTCAGGACCTCCATTTGCTGAGGTGGCACAACTCAATATGAGAAGAAACAGCTGCAAACATCCATTGATAATCAGAACATGGAACGTATGAAGTATGAATCTAGGAAAATTGGAAGTTGTGAAAAATGAAATGGAATGCATAAGATTGATATCCTAGACATTAGTGAGCTGAAGTGGACTGGTTTGCCATTTTGAATCAGATAACCATATGATCTACTATGCCAGAAATGACAAATTGAAGAGGAATGGTGTGGCATTCATCATCACAAAGAATGTTTCAAGATCTATTCTGAGGTACAATGCTGTCAGTGATAGAATAATATCCATAGCCTACAAGGAAAGCCAGTTAATACTACTACTATTCAAATTTATGCTCCAACCACCAGAGCCAAAAATGA